AACCAAGTTTAGTAGCAGTTATAAATCTATAGTTTTGAGGCACTATCTGATTCTCTGTGCTGTGTTTGAAACCGTAACATATAGGGAATTACTTTTCTTGTCTTGTGCAGATACCTTGATTTCTGACAGTTGGGCTTGTCTATCTGTCAACATTCTTCTAATCTAATTCCAAGTGTTGTCTAATCTGATGCTACCCAATTAAAAGACAGAAGATCACATCTTTCCATCCAACACGATGGTAGGTAAACCTGGGAACTTTAATCTAGAAATCAAAGAAATTCACTACTATCAGACCCACAGGAATCCCTTTATAGAGAGAAGCTTTGTTGTGTTCAGTTTTGAGACCTTTGTTTTCATTTTGGTCAATGTCATTACATGAGGGAAAAAGAGCAAACGAGTGTATATTTTCCCTACGTAAATCTGCCGATCACTGCTTACAAGCAGTTGGCATTAAGACCTGCACCACGGTGCTCATGCCAAGTTCTGTGTTTAGATGTCAGCGGACAAGATTTCAACATCTTATCAACTCAGCCACAGACAATGTTTTGAGACAATGTCATAAAATTTGTCTTGATTTTGCTTGCAGTCACAGAAAGAGCAAGACTTTTTTTTTATTTTTTAAGAGAATGAGGGATCTTCCTTTGAAAGAAATCAAAGGTCACACTTGAAAGTTCTTCCCAGTTCACATTTGAGGGAATTCTCAATGCTATGTTGTCAACACCAACAAAATAGACTGAACCCTGGGTTAGGAGGTTGAGCAAACCATTGAATTCTCTATTCCCCAGGGTCAAGCCCTAACTTCCATTTTCATGGTGCTCAATCTTCGGGTTCACTATGGTTTTAACAAACAGAGAATATGGATGTAGGCTTATTACTGACCAATATAAAATTCCCCAGGCCCTTTTCCTGGAAATGAGATTTTGCAGTGGACAGTCTAGAAGAAGCGGATGCTACACTGGGAAGACAATTTTGGAATTGTCTTCTCATAAGGATGGGACTTTCTGTGGACTTCAGGCCTTGAGACCAAAACCCACAAGGCATTTATGATGGGGATATGAGAATTTTAAGAAAAAGAGCATCAACCCTGAAAATAGTGTCTTTAATAATCTATGTACTATTTGTAAGAAGGCATGCATAGTGCCGTGCATTTATAACTATTTGGTCATAAAAATATGCGACTGTAGTTTATGATATTTACAGTCAACTTATAAAAATACATGTAGTTCTGAATGGAAATAGTCAATCTCTAGTTCTAACCACAAGTCTAGAAGGGTTAGCTCGATATGGTAAAGTGCAATGGATAATTACACAATGGACATGGCTCACGCACTGGAGCTCAACACACAGAAATGGTTTTGTGGAGAATTCATCACAATTCTTCCTTCCACAGTACCACATACAACCTGTGAATTTAGTCCTGTGGGAATAAATGGGAATCAAATGAGACATTCACATGATACAACCACAGAGGACAACAATTCTGTCATAAGATATTCATGCATAACCTTCAAAGAGGTGCAAGGTTACTGCAAAAATTCATGGCTGACATCTGCACACATCTCCATTAAAAGGACTTACACAGGGTGCAAGGTAGTCTGACGTGTCCTTCAACCACGGCAGTTAAGACTCGAGCTATTATTTCATTCTGTAATTTAGGTGAGTACCTCTTTGAAGCTTAGTGTTCTGGAAAGTGGGGTTTGTGATATTCTTTCTATTTCAAAGTCTGATTGGGGCTGGACGGGAGTGGAGGCGGGGACAAATTCCCATTCAAGGTTCAACAAAGATCAGGTAGGGCTTTCCAAACTTTAAAAGCTATCACCTTCAGAGGGGAAAGAAAGCCGGTAAATAAAATATTCCATAAATATGAAATATTTCCCACAATGTTCTTTTGTACCAAAATCACAGCAGACAAATTTCTAATTTGAAGCCATTTATGTTTCATAGATTGACAATACAGTTAGAATCAACGGGAGAGATCCACACAAGCCAGTGAGAGAGGGCAGGTGGGAGCTACCTGCAGGTCATGATCTCATATTTTCAGGTGCATCTTGCTACTCAGGAAAGGAATCTTAGAAATATCTGTTTCACAGTAAGATGCCACTCTGTTCAATTTTTCTGGGCTTAAATTGTTTCTGGAGTCTGAGTGAAGGCATTTTTATTTTGAGGGGAGGAGTGATTGCATTAACTCTTCCAGGACATGGAGTTCTATCTCTTTCAGTGAATTATTGCTATGGTTTATTAGAGAGTACCATGGTTTTTTGGAAAAGCTAATGTTCCTTCCAAAATGCCTTCTCCCCAGACAGTTGAACAATAACAAATTGGTGTTTGTCCCAGAAACTTTGAGGACATAATCAAAAAAGTTCTTTCCTCATTTGAATAGAGACCATGAAGTTGGAGAAAATCTATTTGAACCTCTCTGGTGATTTGGCCTCATGTGCCACGGTCCTCATATTCACTTTTGGCAACTGTCATGGCTTGTTCTTTCTTTTATAAACCGGCTGCCAATCTTCTTTGAATCTGGAAAGGTTTATGGTATTCAAGACTGAAACCAACCCCAATAGATCAGCTTTACAAAAAAAAAATAGGCACATGGATGGGGTATAATGCAGAATGGAAAGAATACAAAGAGAGCAAACTCTCTCAGCTGCTCACCTCCCATCTTTTTACAAGGTGCAACAGAATCCCATCTTCACAAATGACTGGTGATCTGTGAAAGAGGAATTCCCGCTCCCAAGTCCAAAACTCAAACTGAAACGCGGAACATTCACTTCAAAATATGAGATCATGCTCTCCAGGCTTATTAGTCTAACTATCAGTTCATCCTGGCATTAGCAGTTCATGAGGTAAAAGGCTAGGATTTCCTGTGACATGTCTGTACAAATACAGTGAAAAGAGTAAGTACCATGATGGCCAGCTCTTTTTTACCCTTTTGGATAGATATGGTTCTCAATCAGTACCACAGAGAAGATACGGTTCATTTCCACTAGAAAGGAAAGACCTTCAGGTAGGAGAAAACAAACTGTACTCAATAAAATGAATTGTTATCTGAACATTTTTCATTGTAAAGTCTGTTCTTCCTTTCTTAGTATTCTGGCAAACTATCCGCAAAAGTCCAATTATTTCACTGTTTCACTAATCTATCAACTTTATTTCAAAGAATGATAGCAAGAATGGAGTGGTTTGTGTGTCCTTTTTGAACCCGTCCAAGCTCAGGAGTTATTTTTGTTTTTTGCTTTGAGAGATACTCATATTATTCACTCAATCGAAGCAATAGAACCCAAGTGGATGGGCAACTGCAGTTTCCTTCAGCAGAAGGGGCTTCTAGCCAACTTTATAGTCACTGTATATTTGTTCTTTCCTACCTGGAAATAAATTGTGTTACTACGTGACACAGGCAATGACATTTTCTAGGAATTTTCCCCAACAAGAAACACAGCACTCATCCACACAAGCAGCCCACCACAGTCTGTTTGCTAGGAAACAGCTTTGAACCTCAAACAATGGAAACCGCTCTAACCCAAGAAGAATGCAGCAGCAGGCTCAGTTAGGAGCCACCTGCCGAGAGCTAGGAAATTACTTTCTGGGTAACAAGAACAATGATGTCACAAGAAGCTACGAAATTATATTGCCTAGGTTAGTGGGACCACAAGAGTAGGGTCAAGCCTGGGTAAATGCTCTACATCGTGAGTGTAAGGTACACACAAGGGTTGGCAGCGTGAGACTCCTTTCTTTGCATTAAGAACCATGTGCATTTACCTCTATTTCCCTTCACAAGTCACCCAGTGACTTTACCTTCATTTATGCTAATTATCTCTATCCAATAACAGTATATTTTCACCATCTGGAAAGAAGAATGATGTAATTGTGGAATACTTCAGTTCTCTCCTCCACCCTTTTCTCTCTCTCACACATACACACCTGTGTACCGTTCCACCCATGGGCGGTGAGCAGAAAGTGCTGATTTGCAGATGGATAAGCTCTCTGAAAGTAGCATATCAGCCCATTTAAATCTAGAGAACTATTAAAGGCCAAGGAAAAGCCATCTCAACTATTTAGCTGTAACATGAGGTTTTAAACATTGTTCAGAGGGAATTAACTCAAATGCCTTTTGTGGTTTTTGCTAGGTCATCCAAAGTTAGAGTCTCAATAATGAACAATGTAATATGTAGAACCTAATGGATTTGGATTTAAAATTCTGTTTATTTTGCTTGTCCCACAGCTAAGGAACCATCCTGCTGCCTGGACAGTTGAGTTGATTCTGAACGGCCACTGATGGCTACACAGGTTTTGAATGGCCACTGATGAGCTTATACACTTGGCTAAAGCAGATGTGACTTTCTAGAGAAAAGTTCAGACGATCTGCAAGCATATGCTTTCCTTAACACAGGCCTTCATGTAGAGTGAAGACACATTGACATGTATGTGTGTATAACCATAGACACACACATGCACACATAAAATGGATCAGGAAGTCCTTTGGTTTAGATGGGATTAAATATGCACTTCCCAAATGCATAGGTTTCCTTTGAACCAAGCTGTTTAAACAACAACAAATAAACAAACATGAAAAGTGATATGGCGATTTAAAAATTTCCCATGTCATCTTCCCCATTCAGAGACCTCATTTTCCCTCATTTCCATTTCTCCCCAAGCATTTCCTCTTTAAAAGGAGTTGGATCTTTAGGCCTTCTACATGACCACTTCATTGATTGATTGATTGATTGATTCCTTGGAAGAGCTCTAAAATCGCCTTGAGAAATTTAACTTGCATGGGAGAACAAGAATGGGACTTCCCTCCCCCTTTTCCTCTTCCTACTTTTTCCTCCCACACAAGAAGCAGACCCTGGGACGTGTGTCGAGGAATGCACTCTTGATCTGACTTGCCTGGGTATCTCCGGCCAGCCCAAGCAGTTGACGTCTGGACTTTGTTCGTCCTGCATCGTTGTGCAACATTGGGAAAGAAAAATAAATAAATAAATAAATCCATCTGCCTACACCTTTCATACCGTGGTGACGTGATCAGGGTTCTCTTGAACTTCTATGCACTCGATTTCCTCTCTCTCCTTTCGTTTGGCACGTTTCTTTTTCTTGTGGTGCTTCTTGGAAGGAGGGAAAAAGGTTAGGAACACAGGTAAAATAACAAAACAGTGCAGGAGTGTGCAAGCCCCGGTGAGCAGCAAGCATTTGAACAGTGTGAAGGTCAGGTTCGAAGGCACGAAGAGGAGAGGGACCAACCCAATAAGAAAAGAAGTGATATTCTGCAAAATGGCTGTCCCGTGCTCTTGCAGGGAGCTCTTTATACATTGTGTTCGGGTGTGCTCGGTGGCGAGTACAAAGGTATACAGCAAGGGTGCACAGTGGTCGATGGCGAAATTTAAAGTGTAGATAAGGCACAGAATAGAGATGCAATCCAGATCGACGTTCCACAGTGTCATCAGGCCCAGGACCCCCAGCTCAATTGAGGTGACGCTAAGGATTAGCCACAAGTTCCCCAGAGGGTGGATGACCAGGAAGAAAGTCAGGACCAACACCAGGAGGACGCCGAAGCCCGCGATCAGGACAGGCACGACGACCGACAAGCTGTAGTGGTCCATGAACACGAAGGAGGGGTTAAACACGATGAAGCGGATGCTCTTGGACAGGGACAGGGGCCTCAGCTTCTCGAGCACTTCGATGACCTCCTTCTGCTTGTCCCTGCTCGTCTTGGCCACCAGGTACAGACGGGAAGCGATGATGTCGTGCTCATCCCCGGCCTTGGAGAAGATGATGTCGTTGCGGAAGTGCTGGAACTCGGGCTTCTTCAGAAAGGAGCCCTGCAGGACTCGGATGAAGTCGCTCTTGTTGTGGGCGCTGATGTTGCTGGCCTTCAGGAACTGGTAGTACTGCTCCACCCAGGACACGGCCGTGAAGCCGCTGCAGAGCCGGCGCAGGTCCTCCTGCACGCCGCTGTTCCAGTAGGCCAGAGGCTCGTACACGTAGAAGCCGATCACCGGGCTGTAGTTGCTGAAGTACTTCTGCTGGACCGAGGCGTAGGAGACGCTGGGGGAGTCACTGGCCAGGAGGTTGATAATGTTGGCCCCGTCCCTGATCTGCAGGCACCCCATGAAGGAGAAGGAGGCGTAGATGAGATAGAGGATGACCACGAAGGGCTTCACGTAGATGTTGGTGATCCACTCGTTGTAGTGCTCCCGGAGGAAGTGCTGCAGGAAGTGGTGCTGGTAGGGGTTGGCCTCGTGGTGAGGGGCCTGCTGGTGGCCGTCGCTCATCACTGCCTGGAACCACACAGGCTTGCGCTCCAGGTACTCTGCAGAAGGGATCTTGCAGCAGAAGATGCTGTGGTAGCGATTCTGCTCCAGCTGCCCGGCGAAGACCAGGCAGGAGCCGAAGAAGGAGAAGATGTAGAAGTAGTTCAACAGGATGGACACACACATGTTCTGGCAGAACACCTTCACCGCCTCGATGTTGGTGAACGGGCTGGTCCCCAGCCCGAAGGTGATGAGGTACAGGCAGCTGGTCATGGTGTAGGTGACCATCACATTGGAGTAGGTGTCGGCCACCCTGTCTTTGAAGGGCAGACTCTCTTTGGTCCTCCGCCAGCCAGACAGAAGCTCAAACACGCCTTTAGTTCCGTGACCTGTGGTTGAAACAAACAAAGAAACAAGAAACAAAAAAGAGAAAGTTGGTGTTTATTCCTCTCTGGGGCTCGAGTGACTGGCTTTAGAGACGCTGCGGTGGATGAGCACTGTGCTCTCCGCTTCCTCGTGGCGTGGTCTCCCCACCACCGCCTGGAAATCTGACTTACACACAAGATATTTCGGGTCCCCCCTCTCCCCCCACCCCGTTTTCACTTTCAGCAAAGACTCCTATTGGCATTTTGGGCGAAGCCTGAAGGCTCTATCGTCTGTTCTACCCCCTGACGAGTTGTAGACATCTGTTACATTCTCACATGGTATTTCTCCCCTGCACACGTATCGAGTTCCCGAATGAATCACTCTTCTGCGGAGAGCAGACACTGTGACTGCCCTGCACACCACCTGCAATGGCTCCCGACGTGGTCCCATGATCCATCACCTCCTAGTTCTTAACCCCTGTTTCAGACTGATTCCAATGCGGATCCAGATGACGTTAAATGCCTGAAAAATGGCCTCAAGTTGACGTCATAATGTTGACAATCTGCTTGTTGGCCAAATAGCTGAAAAACCCAATCCATACAGATTTAATTAAATGACATTGGATGCAAGTCAAAAAAAAACAAAACACCAAACAAACCAATCTTTCAGGTCACACAAAAGACAGGGCAAGATTTTCAGGACAAGAATCAAAGCAGTAACCACCTTTGGGCTCTTCAACTTGCACTGACGTGAAGTGGGTGAGTGAATGACTGCTTTACCCCACTTAAGTGGATGAATTATACTTGTCTTCCCACTTCTGGACACCTTTGGATCAAGGGTAATTAGGTGGAAGGTTTATTCCACCAATGTTTCTTAAACACTCACTATGTGCTAGGCTCCTGTTAGCTACTGAGCTGTTCTGTTCAGGGATCTGACAGCTCTCACGGTCTAACATAGCAGCTGGGAAAGCAAAGGCATTACACCTATGTGTAATTTCTTTTTCTTTCTTCACGTTCCTGACTTGTATGTAGTCAATTCTCACCCAGTGTTAATTTTTGGGTGACACTGGACTCTGACCTCAAGCACGTCACCCTTCTGAAGCATGTGTTTTACCACGTGAATCACACACCCAGCATGCATGGTTACTTTCTGAGTGAATGGAAACCTTCACACATTACTTAACAGCTTTGCAGGCATAACCGTTCTAACCAGGAATCTTCTTCTTTCTTTGTGAATGGATACAAGCTGTGCTTGGGATATTCTCCAAGAAATCTATTAGACAATGGTGCAGCTCAAAGACACAAAGTAACTCAGTTCATACAATCCAGGAAAATATACCTTGTTTGGTATATAGATATTGGAGTTCTGGATTGCATTTCCAATTCACGGAACACAGTAAAACCACCTTATTCGGGGATTTATTACGTATGATCTCAGTCAGTATCCCATTAGCATCACTGGTGTTTTCTTCGCTGTATGATCTGCTGAGTTTTCCCCCTGCCCTTAATTTTGGGAAAGGCTGCCTACCTGAAAGCAAAATGTGCCTAACAGCAAAGTGAAAGTCAACATATTTAAGCGATAAAGCGATAAAGTTTAATTAAAGTGATAAATTAAATTAGCGGAAATTGGGTACTAGGGGAAAAAGAGTGAAACATCTGTAGTATGAGTTATGAACTCTCTGCACCCTGAGCATTTGTACATTTTCCTCAAAGACTATCTCTCTGGATATACCTTAGATGCCAAGAATCTACCCTCACACTCTTTAACAAAGATATTGAATAGCTGCAGTCACTTGAAATTTTCACTTCTAGGAGAGTTCTTGAATTGATCCACTCAATGCCTGTTCTTTTTAAATTTTACTTGAGATTTGGATGTACATAATTAAAAACTTTATTTTCCAGCCTGCTTTTTAACAAGGGGTCTTGTGTGTGACATAACACTGGACAATGAATGTAATTAATTGTCAGGCATCTAGGGATGTTTATTTAAAAACCACAAGACACATTGTCCTAAATGGTATTGTTGAGTCACTAATAATAACCCTCATCTGGCTTCCATGGAATTCTTTTTTTTTCTTTTCTTTTCTAAGAAAATGGAATCTCCATTTGGCAAGCCAATCTAAGTAAAACTTTCATCTGTGATTGAATCTATTCCTGATGAACAGGGTTTTGTAGGTTAGTTGACATTTAAAGAAATGTCATTTATGAATATCTAAGATTCTTGTTTTATAATCAATTTAATGTTAGTTTAGACTCAAGCATATGTGATGCCAATTTTTTATTTTAAAGACACATTGGCCTTAGGGAATTGTAAATTTTTAGTTGCTACAGCAGGAACATAGGTATTTAAGTTCTTACCATGAATGTAAAACCTATTGATAGTCCAAATTTGTCTTTTCTGGCTATTTAGTCAGGAAATATAAAAATAACCTAACAACTAGAAAAGGTTAAGATAATTACATTTGGCTAAAAGGCATTTTTTAAGGCAATGATCTATTCTTTCCTGTATTCGGTTACAGGCTTGGCATATGTATATTGAATGAAGTTTAATAAAAAAAACACTAGATATTCATTCATGTCTTTCTCAAGATGCTTTGATCAAACAGATTGTCTCTCTCATTATCTTGTCAAAAGTAAAACATTAAAATAATGGGTAAGGTAATTGAAAGAATCCTTTAATTAGAGCATTTCTCTGCAGAAATGAGGAAACATGGCACATTTGAAGTCAGGAGGGAGAAGAGAGGCTCCAAGGTTCTATGGCTAAATATGGCTTGGCCTTGCTAACGGTCATTTTAATAGAACATTAGAGATATTATATAGACTGTATTGTCTTTTATGTTATGCAAAGGACTGTGTGTGTGGAAAACGATACCAAACCATATTAGGTTAAGTAATCACTCTTTCAGTGTGATAGAGATAAAAAAAATGATCCCTAAACATGGTATGTTGTAATGTATTCACATGTTGTAGTATTTTTACAGTGTTTCCTGTTGCTCTCCACTCATTTAAGTCTCTATCATGTCTGATCACTTCCGAGCAGTTCAAATTGATTGCTTGCCACAGCTAGGGTGTCTTTTCTCTGCCCTGTGAACATAACCAGAAGAAGTTTAGTCCCGTAGGCTCGCTTATGTAATTGTTCTTTGCCTTACAATAATCCATTGATGGATGTATTCACCCACTGGTACTGGGTCATCACTGCCACAAAGCTGTGGCTGATGGTGTGATGATGATTTCCTATTCCTCAACTCTCATCTGATGGTTACTCACTAATTTTAGTTTCCAACCATGAGCAGATTTGGTTCAGTACTTTGGTTAGATTACTAGTTCTCCAAAGGCAATGCATTTTATGCAACTCTGATACTGAAAATGTGTTATTTTTATGTTTTTTTCCCCCAGAGACTGAGGCTTGAACTAAGGGCGTGGGGCTCTGTCCCTGAACCTCTCCACATTTAAGGCTAATGCTCTACCACTTGAGCCACAGTGCCAACTTCCAACTTTTTCTGAGTGGTTAATTAGAGATAAGAGTCTCATGGACTTTCCTGCCCTGGATACCTTCAACCATGGATCCTCAGATCTCAGCCTCCTGAGGAGCTGGAATTCCAGGTATGAGCTGCAGGTGCCTGGGTTCTTTTTATGTTACTTTTATGCGGAATATCTGGCAAAGTTACCAACATCTAGAAGATGCTCACTGACCTCTATTTTAATTAAATCATCTGAATACTTGATTCTGGATATGCCCAAAATGTATCTTTAATCTCTTTTTACAAATTCTAAAGTTTATTATACATCTTTAAACAACTGCATATTATCTAATTAAATGTAACCAGATATATTTTTAACTAAGACTTTTTAGATAAGGACTTTTTCAGGCCAACACCAAAGGCAAACAAAAAACAGAGTCTTTCCCCACATCTATCAGTCCAGGCTATGCATCCATGGACACAAATACTAGCTTCTAATACAACTGTTTAAAGAATATGACTATATACACGGGAAAACGTATACTCACCCATGATAAAACCACCAAGATTTCTGTAAAAGTAAAGAAGCAGGGGCATGAATTAAGAAGCAAATACAACATAATGATTTTGGGGGGCAGGGGTATCACCTTCTTGTGCTGCAATTCAAATTTACACCTCATATGCAGACTACAAGGCACTCACCTCTCTATACCAAATAAAGGGACATGATGAAGGACAGAGAAAGGAGATTTATTATGTGGCAGCCAGGTAACAAAGACAATTCTTTATGACAGCTTGAGCAGGAGTTGAGAACTCTTCAGTGCATCTTTAGACATCTTCTGGCAGACACTGGCTTAGGTTAGGGAGAACTGGGGTCGTGTGTGTGAAGGTGTGCATGGTTAAGGCATCCTTCAGGTCAATGGAAGGGTCAGGTTGGCTGGCTGTCCATTGTTTCTGGATTGCTCAGGGGATCTCAACTCACATCCCACAGTAGCTGCACAGTGAGTACAGCAGAGAATGATTTGGAGTGAAGGATACAGACAAGATATGGCGGCGTCTGGAATTTCTCATTTTTATTCTCCTGCTCCCAGGTCTCATGGGCCAAGTTTCTCAGTCAAAAAAAGAGAATAGTTGAGGCTGGGAAGGTGGCTCAGTGGTAGAGCGCTTGCCTTGCATGCTCGAGGCCCTGGGTTCAATTCCTCAGCACCACATAAGCAGAAAAAAGCCAGAAGTGGCACTGTGGCTCAAGTGGTAGAGTGCTAGCCTTGAGCTGAAGAGCTGAGGGACAGAGCCCAGGCCCAGAGTTCAGGCCCCACAACTGGACCACCCCCCCAAAAAAGGAACAGTTTTAAAGCACCTCTTCCTGTGCCATTTAATGAGAAAATATAATATGCGGAAAAACAACATAATTATTGATTTGGAAGCCTTCACAATGCATAAAAAGGCCTTTATTAAAATTCTAAAAATCACTCTGTTTTTCAATTTAAAAATAAGTCCAACTTTAATAAGGATCAACTTCTATTGGAACTAATTATAACTACCTGCATTAGTACTCCCTAATGG